GTAAACAAAGTCTGTGCATATAATTGCTAATCCTTACAAGATTAGCAAAACTATTATCAAATAGCAAAAGGCATACTCCCTAACACGGAACAACAGATCATTATTATCAAGGAACATCTTGTGTAGATAAATTATTCACTACTGGATTAGTTCCAAGCAACTGCATCTTCGTGATTGATCATAGGATACACCCTTCTATTGAATAAATTTAACACATCATTAATGTAATTGTAAATAAACTATAATAAACCATATTTATCGAAGAAGCACATACTGTATTTCTACAGCCCTTCCATTTAACTTCTTCCTAAGCATCCGCTAGAGCTGGCGGTATATTAAATATTGCTATCGAAACATTAGCAGTTCGAGTCAAGAAATCAAACAGTTTCGAACACATGAAGAATTTTTTCTCATATATTTTAGTATATTGAGTTGACCATATATTTTATAGTAGTTACTAATGAAATTAATCGATTAAGCTATTAAATTATAACTTATATAAAATTCATTTCTTATCTTTTTAAAGTATTACTTTCAGAAACTACAACTTTTATAACAGCAGTAGAATTAAACGAAATTCAGAATCGAATTATTGTAAATTTATCAAATTCAAATATATATTATTTGAATTAAAGAACATTTGCGTGAGAAATTTAATTTTTTTTAGATAACTAGAGATATTCTAAGTCTAACTTTAAATATTTGGTTTAAAAAATACTTTTATAATTAAATTTCTCATGTACTGGATTACGATAAATCTCGTTCAAAAAAAAAATATATACAAAAAACATTATAACGAATTTAATCAAATATTTGTTTAAGTTTTATAAAAATTCGTTTCCTATTGAATTTAATTTATTTTTATAGCTGAAAGGTATAAGTATAAATCATAAGTATATAAATAATAAATTCTAAATTTACTACTTTAATACTTAATTTAATTCTACTTTAATACTTACACCATTAAGTTATATATAATTTATTAATTCTGATAAATACTTCAACTGCATAATAAAATTATTCATAAAAAAATAGAGAGTAAAAAAATAAAGTAATGAATCTTTTTATATATTTTTTCATATTTTTTTGAAAGGTATTTCACTAATTCTAATATTCATATAATCGTATTCGTCATCTGAAGATGTAAGAATTCTTTTGTTAAATGTTTGGTAAGTCTTTATTTACATTTGAATCCAATAATATAACGATTTCAGTATTAATGCGACAATAAAGATCAGCATCACTCCGTTTTTCTTATCCACCTTTCATTCTGTACAAAATGCAACTCGTCGTTCCGACTTGTTTTATCAAGGCCAGTTCGACGGATACAATTTGATGCCGTTGACAACTCAGAGACCACGGGTGTTGTGTGGTAGCGATGACAGGTCACAAGTGGAAGGGATATTATAATAATACAATAAAGATATGGCTGAAGTATGCTATTTATTCTGTTATTTATTAATGACAAGATTGAGTAGTATTACTATTATTACTTGTAGAACTAAATTCTTGGATTGAAGTAATGCGTTGCGGAGACAACTGTACAATAATCTATGTAGCTTGATTGTTGACTCCGAATGGCGAATGGCGCGAAGTTTCGTTCGTCGACACTAGCGCCTTTTGAACGAGCACGTGTGTGGTTGAGGTTATGAATGCAGCTTTATGATTGAAAGATATCGCAAAGTGGCGCGAAACTAGATTGTCGACACTTGCGCTGGGTTTTGCTTACTTCCGTAAGCTTCCGATTGAACTAAGGTGAGGGTTACTAAAATGAGATGCCCCTGGCGAGTGCAAAACTGGACGACGCGTACTGGAATTTATTCCGCACTGTTGTATTAAGAGTAGCTTCCTCGTCCTTTGTGCTTGTCGATGTATTACTCTGAATCTCAATATATATATAATTATTGTAGTAGATACTACTTACAAAGACTAATCGTTGACTCGTCTTCGGACTCTGATAGGCGGATTTTCGTCGCTCCCTTGGAACATGTCGCGATGGTTTCTTGAACTACGTTAGTGGACATACGGGTTTATGTCGTCGTTCTTCCGGGGCTTGTAACGACTTTTCCAGTACCAGTGTTAATGGACGATCCGAAAAAGTGTAAGTCGTTTCCCGCAATAGAGTTAAATCGACTTTCACTAAATTTAACTGAGTATGAAATGTCTCAAGGGTTTTAATATATTGAGAGAGTATTACTAAAAGAGAGATATATCAAAAAAAAAGGAGAGACACTTCGAAAAAGAGTAATATCACGAAAGAACTACTAAAGAAACTATCAAGAGTAAATATCAAGACAGTTAAATATCACGAGTGGTAAGTATTAAGAGAGTTAAGTATCGAGAGTGATGAGTATTGAAAATTGCGCCCTTTAAATACATTTGCTGACTATGAACTTTACTTGAACCCCTTCCGTTATTGTCTGTCCAGTCAGAGACTCATCCCTTATAATGCGAGGGCAGCGCCTCTTTTGGCTTCGGAATTAATTAAGGGCCTAGTCGTCTCTGGGTCTTCGTGATGAGCAGATCTCTCGTTGCTGCTGCTGCATGCGACAGCATGTTGACAGCGGGAAAGGAAAGGAAGGTCCGCTTGCAGCAATGCTTGATTGTAATTACCAAGAGGAACGAAAATGCAGATGTCTAAACTACAGGTTTTCCCGTGTTTATGGTATTGTTTGTCCAGATGTTTTATGACACTAGTGCTTGAGAATTTTGAGCAAGCGAAATTTTGAAATCCAAATACAAATTTTACGATGTTACTTGCCAGATGTTTTATTGCACTGACAAAAAGAAAAAATGTTCTCGCATTCTCGAACATATTCTCCATTTTCTCTATTACTCTCTTACACCATGTCAGTATGTATTTATTATTCTTAATAAACATCATTGAGTTGAGTACATACTTGTTTGTTCTTGTACTAAAATTGAGTAATACTTATCTATATATTAACATATAGATTGAAATTATTGATCATGAGAATTAAAATTAATTTAATATATTAAATATAGTATAACATTAAAATTAAAGAAAATTTTTATTTTTAATTTATATATTTCATATATAGGTATATGTTCGAAATTGAGGGTTTGTTTTGTGGCTCGAACTGCCAACTCAATAGTTTAGTGGAGTAGTCTCTCGCCGTAGCGATTTGTAGGAAAAACAAGTGGAAGGGCTGTAAATATGTACAATGTATGACCTTAATTTAAGACATCGTTTATTCTGGTTTATTAATAATTACAATAGTCTAGTTTCATGATTACTTAAAGTGAGAGAGAGGAAATTATCCTATGGTAAAGGGGAGGTTGCTTCTTTGTAGTGGTGTCAATGTCGTTGCTGTTATTGATATTAGCAATGGGTGTTGAATCTTCAGTCTATGCTGATGGTGTAAGGATCAGAATGAGCAGTCGACCATGCTCATGGGATGAGCATGGGAAAATGGTAATAATAATCAGTAGTGCTTATCAGGGAGAGTCAACCATACTCATACAGGAGAGAATACTAAAGCCTCTGTGGTAGTTGTCACGTAAATCGACCATACTCTAAAGGGAGTATGGGAGAATGAGAGAGCTAGTCACATGCAAGAACAATAAATGATATGCCTTTGAGTACGGAAGAACTTGATACAATGGAGTTATATTCGATTATTTGTTAAACTGCAGTTTGCTCTTGACAATTGTAATTAAGCGGACTGAAGAGATGAACGAGTGTTCTTCGACATAAAAGCACTGAGAGAGCGTATTGCGTCACCTGTCCTGGATGTAGTGGGGTGAACAAACGTTCTCCGGAATGAAAGCATTGAGAGAGCGTATTGCGTGTCTTTCTTGGCAGATTCTATACTAAACGTGGTTCGAGCGTGGATGTAGCTTGTATCGACTAGTTTGAACAAATTATAGAATGGCGATACCTTATGAACCACCGATAATGTACGCTGAATGACTGCTTGGCTGGCGCACTTTATTGATTACAATTCTAATAGCTTCACTGTTGAATTACTAACCAGTTATAATATCTTAAATATTCGCGTAGCAGCTTGCGACATCGGCAACAGCGCTGATGCTTGTTCTTATGCCGAAAATCTTAGTGACGTCAGATAACGACGCTTTGGAATTTTCTAGAAACGTCGCAAGAAACAGCTTTAGAAGGTTCTAGAAGTTTCTGTAGTTCTGATACTCTGTACTATATTTGAATTAAAGGCATAGAAAAATTCCCGAATTCGCTGAATCGTGTTTATAAACAATAGTGTCCGAGAGCTTGTACTTTTCCCAATTTTAAATTCGTGAAGACTGCTTCAACCCCGAACAATTACATATAATGTTATTTACTATTTTAGTAAAGTTTATATTTATTTTTTAACATATTCGATTAATTATTTTTAATCCATATAATTTGTGTTCCATAAGTTGTAATACTGACGTAAATATTCAATTTATGGAATTTGAATTATCTTCATAAAACTATATGATCCGGGTACAAAAGATAATGAACTTTTAAAAAATACACAATTAAACTTATTTTTCAATAAAGTACTTAACGTAAATCTTCATATATGCAAATAATGTTATTGATTATTATATTTAGATAATTAAGAATATAAATAAAATACTGTATTTTAAATATAACCAATTACAAATTAAAATATTAACTATTAATAATTTAAAAAACTATATACATAGATGTATAAAAATAAATATTAAGTTAAGCAAATAAGATATGCATTATTAAAGTATTTATTTTAATATGAAATAGTAGATCAATTATTATGAATTCGCTATTATTCATAATTGATATTTTAGAAATTAAAATTTATTTTTATTTCGTAAAATTTATATAATATTAACTTTAGTATATGTACTACTTTCTTAATATTCATCTATTATTATAATTATTATTCATTTTATTATAAGTAATTATTTGAATATCATTAAAAATTTTACAAGAAAATTGCGCGAATTCAAGAATCACTAAGCTTAGATTTTCATTGCGCATGCCTCAAAGTGCACTATGTTTGCTTACCTGATGTTACAGCTAAATTTGCAGATTTCAACATAATATTAAATATTTCATGAATGAATTTAATTGAGCCAGAATGATAGAATTAGTAACCTGATAAATTCATTTTAATTTTGTCATTAAATATTATAATTAAGTATCTTAATAAAATGTCGATCGTAGAACTTATTTCAACTGATGAATTTCAAAATTTTATAAAGTAAGTTTGTGAGTAATTTTTGTAATATAGCTTATTACTTTACTAAATTTGATAAGAATAAAAATTATAAAAAAAATGAGTTAGCAATTGATTGCTTTATATATATGAATTATTTAAGCATTAAACTATAAATAAATATGTGTATAAATTTAATTAATTTGTCTTTACAGGTCAAATGATTTTTGTGTTATACATTTTTATGCACCATGGGCATTACAGTCTATACAAATGAATATATTATTTGAACAAATGCGAAAATTAAACAATTATAAAAATATAATTTTTGCAAATATTATAGCTGAATGGTTACCTGAAGTTTCTATAAAATATAATATTAATGCAGTACCAACAATTTTAGTATTTAAAAATGAAAATTTTGTATTTAGAATTGATGGCTTCAATCCAAAAATGTTTCAAGAGCAAATAAATAAACAATTAATGAAATCAGAATATTTTATTGACAGACTTAAAAATTTAATAAATAAAGCTCCTTGTATTTTGTTTATAAAAGGAAGTCGAAAAACTCCTTGTTGTGGATTTTCAAGAGCAATTATCAATTTGCTAGATCAATATAAAACAGATTATGAAACATTTAATATTTTAGAAGATGATGAAATTAGAGAAGGTTTAAAAAAATATAGTAATTGGCCAACTTATCCACAGCTTTATATAAAAGGTGAACTTATTGGTGGATTGGACATAGTTAAAGAATTGTGTGAATCAGGAGATTTAATTAGTATATTACCCAAAAAAATTGAGTAATAAAACAATAAACTTTTCAAATTTATTAGCATATAATCATTATTGCATAATTTTTAATTAAAGTGATTATGTACATTAGAAAATAATAAAATAATTTCCTGAAAAATTTTAATTTCTATTTAAAATTGAATGATTTAATTCTGTAAAAAAAATATAGAATAAGCAATAAAATAGATTTACTCTTATTATTTATATTAATGCATTACAACTATTTGAACTTGTTATATTCTGGTAATTTTTTTTATAAATAAAAAGAATTTTTAATTTTCAGTGTCATAAATTTTTATTTAATAATTAACATTAATTATAATCAGTAGTAAATCAAAATATTAACTTATCTAAATTTAAGTTTTAAATGTTCATTATACCTTACTTATATCATAAATATTGTAGATAATGTATTTTATTAAATTGATATTAAGTTTAATTTCTTGAATTTTTTCGAATATGTTTATTTCTGTTACTGCGAGATATTAGATTTTTAAAAATATTAGAATTCATCATTTTCCTGTAAAAATACATATAATTTTTTAATTTTTTTATGTATTATTAATAAAAAGAATATATTTTGTTTTAATAATTCTTTAAAGTAACCTTTGCTCTAATGTAGATTGTTTTAAAGGAATATATGCGTATGGATCAGGTTTCCCCTTTCTTTTAACATCTCCAGAACCCATTTTTGAACAATATTCTTCACCAGGTCTTTTTTCTTTTTTATTGATTTTTAATGAACGGTGAATTCCAATTCCACTGGCTAAAAAATAGTGTTTAAATAAACAATTACATGGCTACTTAATGATGAAAAAGTTACTGAATACCTTTATAATTTGAAACTGTGAAGGTAGTGTTAGAAGCAATGCTCTCTACACTAGTACTAAGTTTACGTTTCCTTTGTAATGGAGTAGATGATTCAGTTGACTGTATAGAGCTTACACCCCCAAGATTATCTGGTTAAAATGATTTAATATTGAATAGTTACCTTAATTATATGACCTATTTTAATAAACAACTGTAATGAAGATTAGATTTTGAAATGAAAAACTTCAAATAAATATCAATTTTAAGATTTTCTTGCATTAATTTTTAAATTAAATAATTTTTTCAGAATTATTTGACAATAGTACCAAAAAATATAATGGAGATTATTTTAAATATAATATTTAAAATTTTGTTAATATACAGTATTGTGTATTCATTTATTATTTTAATAAAAATGAATACATTTACAAACAATGAAAAATAGTAGTATTATATTTATTTCTTACTTTTTCCATTTTTAAATGGTAAGTTAATACTTTTTTTTTTTTTACTACTATTTTCATTTTTTATAGCATCCGTAATAATTAAACGACCATCATCAGCAATTTTAAAGCCATAATTCTCATCTTCTACTTTAGGCGTGAGAGTTTTGTTACTGTTGGAATTTGTAGCTATAACAAAATTAATTATCATTCAATAAGGAATATTTCGTGAACAAGAATTTGTAATAGTAAAATAATACTTGATATATTTTTAGTAACGGTAGAATCAATAAAATTAACAATATTATATTCATTTTCTTGAATCCATGTTTTTATATTTAACTTATGTTTATGTGTTTCAATTAATTTTTTATCACTATTACTAAGTTTTTCATCACTATCGGCCAAAATTTCTTCAAAACTGTTAAATAAATTATTTATAAGTCTTAAGAAGTATTAAAAATATAAAAATATTTATCATACCTTTTATATTTCCGTTTAACAGTAAATTCTTCTTCGCTCTTATTTTTAGTATGTTTTCTTTGTTCATTGAATTTGAGTTTTTTATTCTCAATTTTACAAATATTTTTCAACCTCTTATGCATAATTTGATCAGAAATAGGTATCATATTAATTATAACATTAGATCCAAATTTTCTTATTAATTTCGTGATAATATCACGTACTTTTAGTCGAAAATGCCCTTTACAATCATCTGTCATACATGTTAATCCCTTCATCTATTAGTAAATATGTTATTTATTTAAATTAAAAATTTGTACATGCAAAATGAACTATGGTTAGTTATGAGTTAATAAATTTGAGATTATTTGCTTAAAAAAATTTTTTGATAAAATTAAAATGATGGAAAGTTTCTTCTGCTATTTTTAATTAAAAAAAAAAAAAAAAAAAACAGAATTTTGATTATCCTCTTTACTACTTAATTGATTTACTTACAATTTTTGATATATTAGACACTATTATAGGTGTAGCTATTACTGAAAGGTATATTTTTATAAGAGTGAGAGCGGATAACACAATTTCTCGCATTGGTTGAATAATAAGATAACAAGATAGATCCAGTATATTTTCTATTGACTGAGCACTCATTGAACCTGTAAACAAATAAAATTAGTTATACTATTAGAACTTTAATTATAATATAAATATTTTATAAAATTTCATAATATTGAATATTCAATTTACCATTATAATGATACATAATTGAAGAAAGAGCAAGTAGTGATGCACTACAATAAGTAACAGTATTACTAAGCCCAATTATTAGAATATTTATGTAATCTTCAAAATCTTTTTTACCTATTAATTTTTCAGCTACTGTGTTAATCAATGTATAAGATGATGACCTACATTTTTCATTTAGTTCTTTAATACCCATGACAGCCTCTGGTATAATTGCTTTTAAAAATTTTGTCTGTTCTATTTGTGGATGACTTTTTACCAGATGAGTTATGCATCTAATGCGAACCTGAAACATAAGAAACACAAGAGGAAACATTATGTTATATATTTTAAATGTTATTTATATACTGACCCCTTTGCTAAGTTTTTGCACTGTTAGTGAAGATTTTGTAATTACTTTTTGTATTAATTTTCGATTTTCTTGAACAAAATTTTGACATGCTTTATTTTTATTGGAACATATTTCTTCTAAAAGTCTATAAATATAGTTTTTGTATTATAAATATGTATGTTATATTTATATATTTTATTAGTATTGAAAATTGTAAACCTATAAGCTTTTTTTTGCTCTTTTTGTTTTTTTATATCCAAAAAAAAGGGTACGCATCTATTATATAATATTTTCACTCTATTTATATCTGTATATTGACATAAAATTCTTACTAAATCAAAAATACTCTCTTTAAAAAAATCGGTTTCCTTGGATTCAGACAACTTTTCCAATGCTTTATCAAATAATTCTCCAATTAATTGTTCATTAGTAATTTTTAAATAAATCTAAAAATATATGTGCATATCAATTTAAATTTATATTAAACTAAAATTAGAAAATTATATAATTACCTTGATTGTTTCATAACAAGAGAGCTTATGCCCTTCCTCATCAGAACCTTTAGGTTGAATAGTATATAAATTAAATAGAATAGGTAAAAAATTTTTTGCAAACCCAGCAAGTTCTTCAACATCATCTTGATTGTTATATTCAATCGACCTTGTAATTAATTTTCGTAATGATGCCATTACAGGTAAACGTAAGTCTTTTTTATCACCAATTATTATTCCTAATGTTTTTGCTATTTTCTAAAAAAATAAAATACATATCAAAACATTAATAAGTTAATTAAAAAAAATAACTATCTAGTTTTCATTTGTACCTTAAAATTTTTTTTTATATCTGGTGCATTATTGCAGAAACTTGGCAAGAGAGCCCAAATTTGTGATATTAATAATTCATGACTATGAGCTCCAATATCATTGTTAATTTCTTTTAAAGCTTTATACTTTTTCCTAATTTATAAAATAATCATTAGTATGTATTTTTTTTATTCAAAATCTATAATTGTGATTCTTACTCGCAGGATTCAGCTAATGGAAGTAAATGATGAATATAATAATCAAGTGACGAGTGACTAATACAATCCTTTAAAATTGGCAATAGCCAACTGCGTTTTAAATTAACTTGATGTTCTGAAGTCTAAAATATTTTTGGTTTTAATCACAATAATAAAAATTAAAAAAAAATCTAATATCAAATAAATACATAATACTGATCTTTACTATACAATGTATTTTAATAACTATATATACATTTGTGCATACCAACATTTGAATGGAAATTAATGAATTTTGTTTTTAACACATCACGTTTAAAACAAATAATTTTACCTTCAATAATTATTAAAAGAACATTTCGTTGGGATGTAATTATAGGACAAATAAAAATAAATATAAATAAATTATATTTGGTATAAATATTATCATTTTTCAATTTCTTATCGATAATTTTTATAAACTAAAAATTAATTTATTTTATATCATTCATATATACGTTTTATAAATATATTTCTTCACATAAAATCTTATTATAAACTATATAATTTATTTATTTTTAAAAATAAAAGCGAATTATAAATTAAAAAATATTTTAACAGAGATGAATCAAGTAATTAACTACATTTTTTAAAAAATTATAAAAAAATATAGTATATATAAATGCAAATTTAGTTTTATATTCAATCATCTTTAAAATATAGTAAATAATTAATAAGTTTTCAATCCAAATATATAAATTGAGTACATGTAAATAAAGTTTTACTTACATTTTATTTTATTTACCTTTCTTTGAAAATGAATGATAAAAACATTTTAATTTATTGGTTTTAAGGAATATTATTAGAAATATTATCTGATTATTCTGACTAAACACTGAATAAAAAGAATATACTACTTTAATTAGCCAAGATATAAATCAAAAATAAATTGCTCAATTACATATTAATACCAATGGAAGCAAATATGATGACATTTAATCTAAGTATAATTATTTTTCACATAAATATACATATGAATTTATAAACTAAATTAATCTTAATAAAAATTATTCAATGATGTGATGAAATGAAATGTTAATTTAAAAACATGAATATTGTATTTAATGTTTTAATATTATATGTAATTTATTTATTTAATTTTAGCAAACCTGCAATGGAACAGCAGTTAATACTGTTTGTGGACCTAAAGATTTTATTGCTGCACCTATTGCAAATTCTATTTCTACATTATAAGAAAAGTTGTAAGAATCTCTAAGTTCTGCTAAAATGACTATAATCTCTACTAATTCTGTTTGGCAAATTGATCCAATGATCTATTAAACATAAATAATGTATAATGAACAACATTTTAAAATAAAATACATCATAACTAATAACTTTTAATAATTACAGTAAACAATAAAGGTATGAGATGAAGTATGTAATGCCATGCAGCAATGTACTGATATTTCAATCCTTGTTTAATAACGTGTATTATTTTAATTAATATTGGTTTACATCTAAATATAATTTAAAATTAATTTAAACCAACATTTCCATAAATTACAATTTTAAAATTCTTACTTTTGTGATAATTCTTCATTTTCACAGATTGAAGCAATACATATTTCAAAAAGAGCTTTTAAAGTATGCGATGTTCCAATATGAATATCATTTTTATCTGAGAGCCAGAGTTCCATACATTTTTCTATTATTCTTGGTATATTTATTGCACAAAGTTCTGGAAAATACCTAAATATTATAAATAATTTTAAGTTTATAATTTGTATATATATCACTACAAGTTTATATATAAATAAATTAGGAGTTACATTGCTAAATTACAATATGCCTCTTGCATAACTGCTAGCCAAGCTAATGTAGGTTGTGTATCTCCTTGTGCAGGTTGATAATCATATAGTGCATTTATAATTTGTGCATTTAATTGTGATGGTAAAGTTACTGCAGTTGGCTTTGATAAAAATAAACTGTGTAATGTTTGAAGACAACAAGATGTCATCAAAATATTATTCAACGTCATAATACTAAATAGTCCTTTACATAAAACCTACAATTTTGAATATCATGAAATAATTAAAGTTGTATAAAGTACGTTTTTATCACATACATACACACACACACACACATATTCTTTGATAAGAAATTTTATCTTGAAGAAAAATAATGGCATTGGAAATTGGCTTCATTTATACTTTTAAAATAAAACTCACCTTTATAAAAAATTTTGGTAACTGATAAATAATATCTTTAAGCAAATTTAATACATGCAATGTATTCATTATTTGCCCTGATTGACCAGTTATTTGTATTTGAGCAATACAATGCTGAGCTATTTGAGATACTGCTGGATGAAATAAAGGAGGATTATCTGTTTTCATAATGTCACTACCTATGAAAAAATAAAGCATGTAAATAAATTATTTGAATTAATGAAATTAATTTAAAAGAGATAAAAGACCTTTTAAAATAGAGCAAACAGCATTTTGTGCTGCTTTTCTTACTTTTGGCTTAGAGTGAAATGTAAAAGCCAAAAAAATATCTAAAATCTGTATTGTAGAAGCATTTGTCCAAACAGAAATTTCTTGAATTTTTAGTAAATAAGAAAGACAATAAATGCACTATAAAGCAAATACAAATATAAAAATATGTAATTTATATCTACAATGAAAAAATATAAGTAAAATAATTATTACAGATTTTAAGATGAAAGAGTTATCTTCTGAAGTATATTTAGTTAATATTTGTAAAAAAATATAACTAATTTGACAAAATTGCAATTTTAATATGTTTTTAGGTACTGTTTTCATTCCCATACTTAAAAGTGAAAGAATAGCAGAAATAGATTCTTGTGTATCAGCCACTTTCAAAATGGTTATCTTGAAAGAAAAAGAAAATAATAAAAATACTGTTTCAATCAGAATTAAAAAAAAATTAAATTGATAAATATATGTATTATAGTTTACAAGAGCTGCGTAATATTCTGTTGATGACTCTGTACCCTTGTTTTGTTTAATAACATCAGTAACTGCTGCCAACACAGCAAGCATTTCTTTGTGTATTATTGAATTTGATTGAAAATGACATAAAAATCTGTAAATATTTGATCTTTGTACTATTTAACTTTAATAAAATTTATTTCATTTTATTAAAAAGTTTTATAGTTTTCATTTTTAATTTACTTAATTCATATATAAATCTTATATCTTTATTAAAATAATTATTAGCTTTTAGATTTAATAAAAACTTATTAATCAAATTTATTTAAAGTATAAAAGCAACAATTTAAACCATTTAGTAAAATATAATTATGAAAGAATAAAAAATTAATAAAAACTATAATTTAATTCCAATACTTATTTAACGAATTCATTAAAATATAAATATATAAAAATGTAATTTTTATAATAGTAATAAAAATAATTTATATCAATAATCATTTTTATGAACAGTATTGTTCTTTTGAATATTACATTTATATAAAAAAGCATAATTTTTACACATTTCAAATCATTAAAACAATATTCAACAATTTATAATATAAAATATAATAAATCTAAATTATTATATTAAGAATTTATTATATACTGATTATATTAAAAAAATATATTATATACCGATTAAAAGAAATATTAGAACAATTACTCCAAGTATTAGTAAAAGTACTTCCATCGATTGAACTTTCTTTTTTATCAATTTTAATGTTATTAATTGCATCTTGGATTCCTTGAACAGTGTCATGTTTCTTTAAAGTATCTATTGTAAAACTTGTGGAACCTATTTAATATTAATATTGGAATATTAATATTAATTATTATTTAACAAATAAACTATTAAAAATATATTATAATACATTGAAAATAATAAATTAATCTATATCACCCCTATAATTAATAAAAAACGAATGCATTTATAGATTTTCAAAATTTTTTTATAAATATATGTTATTCTACCAAGATTTTGTTGGAAAAAGCAGGATCGTGCTTGATTTCGAAATTTTTTTGTTTTTGGATTTGAATTCGAACTCTGTCCTTTTATCCAGCGACTTTTTTTTTTTTTACAATTTAAACGAGGTCCTAATATTCCCATACTTCAAATTTTCTTCTGCAAAATAATTATTTACAATAATATCAATATAATCATATAAAAACGTGGAGATTATAATCGACAAATAGCTTTAGTAAATATAAATGGAGATCATTAATTAAATGTATGTAAGATGGTCGGTTCGATCACTGCGAACCTAGTGGATTCTTGTATAAATCAAGTAAGAATTTTGTAATTTAAAAAAATATTTAATTTTGAAATATTCATGTTTTATTCAATTTTATCATTTTAAAATTATTTTAAAATATAGAAAATTGACCTTCGATTACTTCGAATTAATTTGATATAAGATTGATGATAACGAAATAATTTCCTATAATTAACAATACAAATATGGAATTTAAATTAATCCATTAAAAAGTAATGCTCTTCCACTGTTAATCAAAATTTGTAATAAAGAAGAAAAAACGATTATAATTACGAAGAAATTAAAGTGTATTACTTGTATATAATCTATATTTAACTTAATTATATAATTCTATTCTTTAAAAGTATTTTTATTGAAGTTGATTATTATACACAAAAATATACATCTTCCTAATCAATATAAAGTAATCAAAATGCAAATAATCAATCAAAATAGTTATTTAAAAATCCAATATTATTTCAAATGTATATAATTAAACTAAAACAATAATTAATAACTATAAAAATATTATGCAGCTCATTTAATTATTTTTAAATAAAAAACTATATAATAAAATTAATTTTTATCATATTTAACTAAAATTGGTACTTTTTAATTTGATATAAATATAAATATTGTCTCCTAGCTTCATTAGTAAAAATTAAATAAAAGAAATGAAATTATTAATTTCATATGAATGAATTTAATTTATTACTATTCGAGAATGCGAGAACATTTTCTTGCCACGACTTCCCTCGGTCGCTGAACATTCGAGATGGTCAATACATCTGAAAAACTCCAGTGAATATTTAGCTTATTTATTCTTGCTTATCTAAAAACGTGCTCATGCTTTTCCGGTGCAGTAAAAACTAATATGTTGTTTACTGTTAAGAAGACGTAGATTCTGATAGAGTATCGGATATACGTAAAATATCGAGTACTAACATTTTCTAAATAACGACAACAAGCAATAGGCATACGTGCGCACACGGTTTTTTAAGACAATTGTTCGGGATTGATGCAGTCCCATGAATTTCAAACAAAAGAAAGGTCATACGCGCAGTCCGGCGTACCGCATGTGCGCCTAGACTGACCGCACGTGCACCAAGGCTGACCATCACGTGCGCCTAGGCTGATCCGCACGTGCGGACCGAGACGGGTACTCGAGCAAAATGTTTACAAACAAAACTCGGCAAGTCCGAGCAAGATTACGATCTAAAATATAATTTACTGCCAGCCCTCACAAAAAAGGGACACCTATGAAACTTCTAGAAGCTTCGTTTTCTCACGCCAAAGGAAATTTTCTGGAAGAGACGCGCATAGACACTGTTGCCGGCGCTGCAGACGCCGCATGCACATTTAAACGCAACGTCCATGAGGCGACGCTCATTTGTAATATCACTTCGCTCTCAATCAAGCGTAACTGCCGCTCAGTGTATAGTATACTGTGAAGACGACGCGTGGACATATAATCGGCATCATAGTTAAAAGGTACTCGCGTGCATACTAAAAGGAAATCGGCAGAGTAGATAGTGATTACAGTGAAGCCAATGGAATAGTAATCAAAGGAAACAGTAATTAAACAGCAATCAACAGACTTTACCACCACTTTATGAGGTACCTATTTTTATATTAATAATTAAACTAGTCACATCTAGCACAAAAAACCTAGGCATTATCGCATCCCCTGACGCAGTCGACAGGTGATGGACACTTGGTCGTGCATTCTCTAAAATAAACACCAAGTGATTAGCACGTGGTCGTGCATGCCTGAAATAGTCACTCGGTGATAAGCACGTAGTCGTGCATTCTCTGAAATACTCACCGAGTGATGAGCATGTGGTCGTGCATGTCCTGAAATAGTCACCAGGTGACGAGCGCGTGGTCGCGCATTCCTTCTAATAGTCACCAGGTGATGAGCGCGTAGTCGCGCATTCTCTAAATAGTCAACTCAATGATACAGTAAGTCAAGGCCGGACTTCAATATATCGACTGATCAACAGTAAGGACATTTTCCAGAAATCCTGAAGATTTCTAAGGTTTATAATCAATGATACTTGGGTGTAACTAGCTCTTCTACCGTTCCCATAAATAAATACAGATACAATTGATTACTTAACATATTCCATTAAACATCTTACACCATATCAAGTATAGTTATTCATACATCAAACATACTTGATTCAACTACCATCTTCTCATGCTACATCACAAGCATGATTGACTGACTACACCAGCTGATATTTACAACATCAGCATTACTTCAACTTCAAGATACTTAGTCATATCCATAGAACTACAATAATTTAAGAATACAAGAACACAATTCAATTAACATTTCAATAGAATTATTTATCTCTACACAACAGTGCAATATTGTTATAATTATTTACATTAATAAACATTGTTTTTACTATATACACGATATTTTTCAGCCTTATCTGTTATTGTTTCCTTTGAAGTTATCCTGCCGAGAGACTAATCCACTGAACTATTGAATTGGTAGTTCGAGCCATAAACTAAACCTTTAAAATCGAACACTGTGTATTACTAAGACCTTAGAGTATACAATTATATTCTTCTTAAACTCTATCTTTTATTGTACATATAACATAAATATTCGATTTATTGTATTCATGTGAAAAAATAAAATTTTATAATTATTTGTTTGTATCTACATGTTAATTATTCAATAACTATAAAAGAAATAAATGTGATACTACTGGAAATTCAAATTCATTAAAACATTTTTTTTTAAGTTCTAAATAATTTGTTGGTAAATACTAAATGTTAGTAAATAAAGTTACTAAAAATTTATTAGTAAATAAGTAAATGAATAATATTGAATAAAAAAATAACAAGTACAAAATCTTAAAGAATACAAACAAACTTCAATGTAAAATTCTATCCTAACTCAAAGGAGTAAAAATATGATAAATCGAATTAATCACTAAAATATATACGCATTAATAAGTACTATTCACATATGCCAAAAAAATAAAAATATAAAAAAAAATATAGTTGCAAAAATACCAAATTTAATAGATAATGCAATATGACAAAACAAGGGTAGAGAAAGAAGGAGATAGGCAGATGGTGAAAACAGAAAGAGGACGAGGAAAAACTCGAAGGCGCGATATGAGGCAGAAACAGAAATATGGATAAAGGCGGTGTGGCTTGTTAGGAGATGAATGAAAAGTTGTCAGAGCAGTCCAATAAACGTCAACTCTTCGAGCAAAGCTTACCTTGAGCTTACAAGCAGATAAGCGCAGTGTAGACGCTCCCATTCGGCTAGGATTCGCTTTTCTCAAAGACTCCTTCCTAGTATACATCATCAGATTAAAATCTTCTTTCTTCCACTCCAAGCCTATTCCCATAAAATTTTATCTTATATCTGCTTTTTTTTAATTGTACACCACCAGCTTCATCGTTGAGTTATTTTTACACCATTCTTTCGAAGGAAGACAAGGAACTCAAGCTCCAACCTTCGAATGAAATCAAAATTGGTATAAAGTTTTCTAAAAATGGTAATTGCAACCATACTTCGAAAAATAGAAAAAATCGATACTTTGTAAACGAATGTGTTACAAGATTATGAAGATGGTAAGGATTGGCAGTAAATATAATGCATAGAAAATCAGTTTTTACTTATCAATTGTCTAACTATGTTTACATAAAATTCATTCCTCTTTTTTATGCAAATTTAAAGAATATTTTAAAATTTTTAAGATATTTTAATTAAAATTTAATCTAACATAATTATTAGATACGATTCCTTTAAGTAATTTAATTAAATAAATATCTGTGTTTTTAAATCAATTTACTGCCAAGTTAAAGCACGCAAAAAGTATAGAAAATTTCTCAAATATTTGTCAAATGGTTACTAAAATATTTTGAAACTATATTTTTTATATATATTTGTCAACATAATACTTTTATTATATCTTTTTTTAAATATAATTCTATACGCATATGTAATTATGCAGATGAATTCTTATGTATACAAATATAATGTTAATATAAATATTAACTTATATCTGTACGGTTATTGAATAATATTTAGAAATAAACTTAAACAGTTTTGAAATTAAACATATTTTCAGAAAATGAAATTATTTATGCCAATTTTTTCAATTATAAAACGAATAATAATAACATTCTACAACGTTAATAATATGTTCCTACTAAAACGAAATTTAACAATTTTGCTATAATTAATTAAAAGAACTCGAGCTCCAATGTGAAGTTTTTAATCAAGCTAAAAATGAAACGAAATGAACCGCCTCTAATCACAGAACGATTATTGCAGAAAAGTCACAGTGTCTAATAATAGAGTATTCGGCTCGAAGGACCAAAATGTCTACAATTAAAGTAAGCTCTCAGATGGTTGCTGGGAGGATTGTGGGTAAGTGAACAGGATAGTGCATGTATTCAATAATTAATACTTTCTTTATTATTGGTGTTTATTGCTGTTATCCCGTTTAATTACACTATAATCATGATGGATGATGGAATATCTATTTTGCTGTTCCTTTATTCCTGCCACGTGCTAGTAACGTGCACTACATGTATAGGTAGAAGGTTGTAAATCCCCTGGTCCTCTTTATGTGGTGTGCGTGGTGGTGTAACTGTATAGGTCGAAGTGCGAGGGCGTAAATTCCAGCGCTTATTTGTGTAGTGGCACGTGGCGGCAGCTTGTAGGTTTTACTTAGTGTTGTGCTCTGTGCACCACTATTTCCTTGTTCCCTTTTCCTTTTTTTGGCACTGCTTAGAGTGTGTATTTTGCACTTATCTTGCACTTATTATGAGTTGGATACGACTAGCCTTTGCCTCTTAATTCTTGGCCTTTACTACTTATGTCTACATCTTTGATCTTTGGCGTTCTTTGTAAGAAGAAGCAGTTGCACCTTGCCGGCCTCTTTCTTAAAGGCATTCTCGGCTACCGCG